GCATGAAATGTTGCATAAACGTGGCAAAACGGAGCACTTCCATTCCCCCTTGCGGTTTGGCCCCTGATCGAGCTAGAGCTTCGCGGAAAAAAACGAGCTTGCTGCCCGTGATGAGAGGAAGCCGTTGACACCCAATTTTAAGGTCCTAGGCCATTGGTTGACCTTCCAGGACAGGTCAATTACCCAAAAGTCGGGAAAATCGGAACCTGTTAAAACATCGTAAAGTGAGGTGCTTTGGGGCTTTTCGGGGTGCTGATCACGAATTTCATGCTAGTTTTGATCACAGATGATTTCGTAATGCATTTAGGCCAGGTCGGGTCAGGTCAGGTCAGGTCAATCAGTATGCGTCCTGCCGGGTATTCATAGTAGGTGTCAACCGCTACTGACAGCCTCGTAACATCATACGAAGGCACCAAAACTACTTCGTAAATGCTCAAATGGATGGTAAATTCGAAATAAGCTCCAAAAACTAGCCTAGAAACATTTAAAACTCGAAAAAGTGAACCGAGGTCACCAAAGGTCAACGACCTGACCTGACCTTCAGGTGACCTTGACACCCAGCATAATGCATGGAACCAATATCATTTCACATGGTTGAACGTTTGAAACCACAAAAAAAATGCAAACGCGCGGATAATGTGAGCCGACATACGCTGAATCGCGATTCCGGCCAAACATGGTCTCGAGAAATAGGTCACAGGTCAAAGGTCATTTGGGTCAGGGTCCTGAAATTTTCAATGTAGGGGCGAAATTGATGAACTCGAATGTAGACAGAGGGTTAGACAGTCGACCTCTAGGAGGTCGACTGTCTAACTTGCTTTGTTCCGGAGTTATTGACGGAAACTAATATGGCCCTAGTGACGTCATAAATGACGTCATGCAAGGTTAGAAATGTAAAGGTGTAGCACCGTACCTTGCAGGGAGCGCATGAAGCCATGATACCATGTGATTGAGATAGTTTTAGATCATTCCTGGCGCTAAAATAACAGTTTCCATATTTTCCTCATTGACTTATAACGGTGAGATCACGCGACCGACCTGACCGCATGTGAACTTTAGCAAAAAATCCGAGATATAAATATGCAAGTTGTGAGACCTCGGGGTATGCTACGTCCTGAAAGCTTCATCTCCCTGTGAACGTCCCTCTGGCACTGAGGGCGTTGCGAAGTTGCGACATCTGAGGACCGTGCAGAGTTTCACTTATGACGTCATAGATAGCGACCTGACCTGACCTGACCTAAAAATGCGGTTGATTTAACAAGATCCGGCTTGAATCAAAGGTCAAATATGCCAAGTTTCAGCTCTTTATCGCCGGCGTGTTGTGAGCTATCGCGTTAAAACCTATAAGGGGGCGGCACCCCCCCGGCCTCGGGGGGGGAGGGGGCGTGACTTATGCAGAATTTCCAATTAACTCATGTGCAATACTTCTCAATTCTTTTTTTAGGACACAAAATGTGTTTGAGGTTTCGCGAGACCAGACCGGCCGGATCACCCACTGTGCATCGCCTGAGGCCTTTCCGGTCACGTGACAGCTCATCCTCGGGTCAATTAGAGTGCTTCTGACCCACGAGATTACACTGGCTGGTGTTACTGTCATCACTTGAAATAATATAAGCTAAAATGCAGGCTGATTTGTTCGCTCCCGTCACTATTGGAGCTAATAAAGGCTAGACGGCGTATTGCAAAATGTTGCATAGCAGCAAATGGCGCAAGTTTGCGCACTTTTTTATTGCTTGGCCGGTTCAATAACATCACAATGCACATTGTGACATCCGATTTAGAGCGGGACCTGGGGGAACTCAAAAGATCGGCTTAACATAGTGAGTGATATTAATTTTAAGCATGCAAAATAACTCGGTGATATGTTTATCTCTCATGCTGCTAAATTATTTTCGCAACCTCATTTTTCGTTGCGCGGAATTGATCGTAACATGTCACAGAACAACTCATAAAATCATTGGCGTGTAAAACTCACGCACATAGGATCCCCATGGCATCTACTTTGACTCTTCAAACACCCGAAAACTATGACTTGTCTACGGCCTAAGAAATCTTTGTGTTTGAAGCCCCTTTCACCATATACCAAGTTGTTGCATGACCAGATAATGGTCATTTATATAATGTATGGACATTTTGTAGTCGATTGGTATGCTTTTTGTTTTCATAAAAGCAAAATAATATTTTTGCTTCGTAAGAGGCTAGACCGGCCCGAACGCCTACAGTGGGGTGGTGCGCGCCGGCCGAGGCGGTGTGGAGCCGGGATGGCCGACACGACTGGGATGGACGGAACGACGCAGAGACATGGCACAACCGCGGTACCGGCTACTGGCGTAGGTGGACTGCACAAAAATGCTGACTAGCTATGACACAGCACATTACATATATGTATACAAAAACTCGTAGTTTCAACTACAGTGGACAATATTTTCATCTTACAACTACCAAATACCAACCGACCAACTTCCAAGTTACATCGTCAGTTACAATATTCATGCCACAACGTTTGTCGTAGCATTCCCCTAAATGGCCACGTTGTCCGGGAGTTCCCAGCTCAGCGGAGGTATCGCCGCGTCCGTGACTGCTCTGGCAGCTGCAGTCAACTCGCCCGGTGGTCGCCTGCATCAGCTCGGCTCCGGAGCACGCGGGCGGGCGGGTCCAACCGCAGGCCCGCGGCGACGCGACGAACGGACGGCAGCACGACAGACACGACAGACGGCGGCGGGGGCATCACGGCGCTATTGTGGTCGGTCGAGCGGGCATTTGTCTCGGCCCGGCGCTGCTGCCAGCCGGGCTGACGCGGCCACCGCGGTCTGTCGGAGCCGACGGCACCGACACGGGTGGCTGGAGCCAGACAGCGACGGCGCAGCCGGTGACGCAGCTGGCACTGCCGGCGCGACCACCCCAGTGGCAAGATGTTCTCAGCGAGTAGCCTCGAGGAAGGGAGAGAAACGGGACACAGACATGCCGCGCAATGCCTGTAACACCCTCCTGAGGCCGATACAACGCTGTTGCAAGAGGACGAAAGGCGGACCGACCGTCCATGTCACGCCAGCAACACCGCGTATGGGACGAGCAAATGCCCCGAGACAAGCTGGCGTCGAAGACGGTGCTACTTTGGTGCATGTTTGCGGTTGGTTCTGTTGAATGGGATATTTCCAGCAGGTTCGTTGAGAACGGCTTCTTAGGAATGCAGATGAGTACAGGGCGAGAATCGGAAAGAAAAAGCCGGCTGCTTACCTACTTGACGAAGCATGTCCCGCACTCAACCAACTTCTTCAAGACAGGCGTAACGCGTGGCTCATCTATGTATGCTGGTGAGATGTCAACAAGCATTGACGGATGTTCATCCACGGAAAACCCACGGCAAATTCTCCCTGGAAAGACCTCACTTTCGAGATGTCCCGATGCCCCTGCACCGACGCATACCTCCGCTGATTGAGTCCCCGATCGAGCCTGAGCATTGTTGTGAGGCGCGCACGGAGCTGCAGCGCGGCACACTGTGGAATGCCTGCCGCATTCCACAGGCCAATCTGCCGGCGTGCTGAGGCTGGGGGTAGCTGCCGGAGTGCCGGTCACAGCATTCCTCCCCAGAGCAACACGTGCCGTTCCGCCTCCGTGACCTTCTGTCGAACATACAATTACCTACATTCAGGTGCCGCGACCAGGAAGAGAAAGAAGGAAGGCAGACTGGATTTAGACGGCAAATTTCGAGTAGCGAGCTAAGCTAAGTGAGCTGCACAGTCGCGGAACGACAAATATGTTCCGACAAGGTCCAATGGGTGATTTGATGAGGTAATGATTACCACCAGCCAGACGTTTCGTCCTATACTCTGCAAGCATCCGCGCTTGTCTACTGAAAGTCGGCCTTTGTCGCGCGTGTTATTTGTTGCTTCTTCTCTGAATGACTCGCAGCCTATCCAGCTTAGCGTCCAGAAATGAGCAGACGCCTACATCGACAAAGCTTTCCCGCCCACACACTAGCTGCAGATTGAAAGAGAGAAGCAGCGCCAGACGTGCAGGTGGGGGTCGGAGGAGGGGGCGCCGCGCCGCGCCGGACGCCACGCTGGGACGGACGCCGGAGCGGGACAATAGTCGCCACTCGTTGATGGATGACGGCGACCAAACACCGCCATCCGTCAGCGAGAACAGTGCTGGCGGAGAGGCGTCCCGCTGCGCCGCCTCTGCCGCATCCGCGCCGACTGTGCTCCATCCGCGTCGCTCAGCCCGCCGCACGCACTGCGCAGGTCCCGGCGACCGGTCACCACGGGCGGAGATGGACACTCGGAACACTGACCGGCAGACCCAGTGACGTCATCAAGTCAGCAGTGACGTCACCCATCCAGCCGTGACGCGGCTGGGTCGCAGCCGAGGCTGCGTCCCTAGGGACGCTCGATGCCGTTATAGTCTCGCGGCCGCTGTCGCTGCCTCGCCAAAGACCAGGAATGTGTTTATACGATAAACTGGCGTACGCGGCCGTCTGCCAGGGGTCATATCAGCAATGCGTCAGTGTCCCGCCGGCGCGGCTGTGGCTGCCAGCACGGCACGCCCGTCTGACAGTTGGCGCAGCCCGTGAGATGGAGCCGGCGCGCCGGCTGATAAAGCCCATCACTCGGCGTCGCCACCGCCGCCAGCGGTGACGCCAGAGATAGGCTGAGGTGCTGTCCCTCTCCACTGCCCAGGGAACGATCTTCAGAACAGCCTCACTTCCAGGCACCTAGAACCATCGTTCTGACCTGGGCCTCCACTACGAACCATGAGAGCACCGCACCAGATACAGCCCCTTCACCTGTCTTTCGACCTCATTCATTCGATCGCACACCACGCTACCTTTGACCTGTACTTGCCACGACCTCAGGAACAGTCTCTCGACCAAAACACTTTCCAAACCCAACATGGCCCACACCCCACAATCCACATCCTGTAAGACACACACTCCACACTTTAGAACAGCCTCCTTTAAACACACCTCTCTCCTCGACACCATCCCCGTCGGTACTCACCTTCCACCCAGAGGTCCTCCATGTCCGTCTGCAGCTCGATATTTTTCAGTCCTATACACAACATGGCCAGCAGCAGGATGCCGGCGAACATTATCTTGCCGGCATGGCTTTGCACCAGCCGGCCCGTGTGGAACAGGTAGAACTGAGTCCGCGAGCGCACCCACAGGGCCGCTCGGCTGCCACTGGCCTTCCCCTGCGGACACAGACGAGCGCGGTGTTTGGTCAGCACACAGTCACGTGCCAGAGTGCACACATACACAGTTGGCTCAACGGCACGGGGTCGCGTGCGCTCGGCACACTCGTAAACACGGGGGAGAAGGCGCCACGCCTGGGTCAGTGTCATAATAAGTACGGGTGTAAATGGGACACTTCAACGTAGATATCTAGGAATTTTGCAAGAAGCAGTTTAGTCACGTTGCTAGAGGTCCGATGGTTTAACCACAATTTCACACATTCTTAGTCAACAAACTACCATAAATGCACTTTGTATGGTGGGGACGTAGGATTTGTTCCGTACATTTTATTTATAGTCCGCGCGTGGCGTGATATCAAACCCCTCAGGCCCAGGGCGTGACCGTCGCCCTCAATCAAACGGCGATTGAGACGTCGCGCTGTTTGGCCATAAATCGGGTGCCGATCAGGGCACACGCCGCCGTCGTGCCGGCGATTTCCATTCAGAAACGCCGCCGTCCTGCCGCGCCGTGCCCGCCAATGTAGCCGCGGCGCCGGCCGGCGTCGTCCTTTGAAATCGCGCCCCGCTGCGCTGGTCCGACCAGCTCTGGCACGACTGAGCCTCGCAGCGCTGCCCATCAGCAGTCCATCAGGCGTTCGAGCCGCCGCCCGGTTACGACAGTACGCCGAGCACGCAGCGCCGCCGGGCCGTGGTGGCGGCCCGGCCCGCCGGCCGCGGCGGAGGCGTCATCACGGGCGGCGGAGGCGTCATCACGGGCGGAGGCGTCAGCGCCGGTGGCAGCGGCGGGCCCTCCCACTCCCCATCACCCGCCTCCATCACCGCGACGTTTAGTATTAGCCTTTCATAGCCGATCGGGCCGTGCGATAGCATTCATCTGGCCTGCCTTCAAGTGAATGAGATGAGGGCCTGCTCGGCGGCGGCCGAGCAGTCGACCCGTGCACACGGGCTGCACTGGTGCACGGTGCACGCTCGGCCGCCCGACGCACCGCCGCACAGTGTGGCCAAACGCCAGATTAGCGCGAATTTAATCAAAAAACGAATTTTGGAATTTTGACTTTTTATAACTATCAGTCGATAGGAAATTGTCCAAAGTATGTCAATATCACAATACTTTGGTTCAATGTCTTCCTTTCGGTGTCCAAAAAGCTAGCTAAAGTGGACATACGCAATGCCGGTCCCGGCTGTGCTGAAATCGTCGAAAACCCGCGTCATGTTTACAACACATTTTGGCGTAATTGTCGGAAAGGTTTGGAAATAATTGGAGTGGCATATGACTACTGAGCCTATATTTGATAGTATACCCGAATTCTATAGGCATCCTTGGACTAACCGACGAGTTATGCTCATTTGAAAATGACCTTTTCAAACATCCCCTGAAAACACTGTCCATCTTAAAAACGTAGAGATATAAGAAAATGGCCAAAAAACTCCACGCCAAATCTACCATGAGAAGATTTGCCACACTTTTCTGGACATGATCCATTCAAGAAACCCTGCCCCAACCTGCCCCCCGGCATTTGGCTCAGCTTTGAACGTATCGGGTTGGCCCGCCCGGGGAGGTCCGGCTACAGGGTGGGCGCGGCGTCGGCTCCGTAACGTTACGTGGATAGCTCAACCGCTGTATTTCTGACTTGTTATATTGCAGAATACGGTCGCCAATGAATACATCTTGACAATTTTTCAACCCTCGCCCATATAGGGGGTGAGGGTGGGGGTCGAAAGGACCCCTCTCGTTTTTTCGCAAAAAGCTCATGTAAAAAGCGGCCGATCGCGACGAAACTTTCAGTACCCTCGAGTTTATCAATTTTACACCTACCCATTAAATTTTACGACCCTGACCCCAATGACCTTTGACCTGTGACCTATTTCTCGAAACCATGTTTGGCCGGAAGCGCGATTGGGCGTATGTTTGCTTGCATTAGCCGCGCGTTTGCAGTCTTTTCGTGGTTTCAAGCGTCTAAACATGTGATATTATGATGTTGGTCCCATGCATTATGGTCGGTGTCAAGATCACTTGAAGGTCAGGTCAGTTCATTGACCTTTGACGACCTCGGTTCACCTTTTTTTAGTTTTACATGCTTCCAGGCTAGTCTTTGGAGCTGATTTCGAATTTAGTAACCATTTGAACATTTAAGAAGAAGTTTTGGTGCCTTCGTAACATGCAACGAAACTGTCACTGGCGGTTGACACCTATTAATTCTGAATACCCGGCAGGACTGGTTGGCCTGACCTGACCTGACCCGACCTACGTTAGCGGCTAGCAAAACACCAATATGGGGGAGGGTTAATGACATGAAGGTGCTACTGCTTATGGTGTAAGTCTTTGTTTTTACTCCAATTGCTGAGGTTCAGTCCTATCGGCGCGTGTATTTCAGCAACCATCTACCGATTCGTGTGCTTCACCAGGAACATTCACACAGAAACATAATTAGATGTTGATTTTTTTTCAAGCAAACTTTGGACAATCATAAGAATTTACCAGAGAAATGATGGGAATTTCGTAAACGATTCCTCCTCCTAACATGCCCATTGCCCATCATTGCTGGGACCCACAATTTTATGCCTCTTATTTGCGGTTAAATTCCAGGATTTCGTAATCAGAATCGGAGTCGTTCGGAGTCAACAGTTCTGACCCTGCAGTCAGAGTCGGAATCGGAATCGATTTTGAATCCGGACCAAGACTGCGTGGACTTGCCATGGCTGCGGAGTCAGAGTCCGAGTCGATCGTATAAGTCGACAGTTTTGCCCGAGTCAGAGTTGAAATTGACTTTTGAAAGCCGTAGTCGGAGTCGGAGTAACTCCATCGACTTCACAGCCCTGGCCTGGTAAGCACATCACCCGTCGTAAGCTAGTTCTCCTTACTTTTAGAGGCGGAACTATGCCATTATATGTCAGCAAGCATTTATAAGGCATCGTAAAAGGTCTCACATAGGTTTAAGTGTCAATTTGGAAACCAGGGAACCATTTTCAACGGATCCGAGCAGCGCTGGGATTTAATTCGCGCTAAACTGGTGTTTGGCCACACTGTGCGCCGTCGTGGCCGGCCGGCCGTTAGCGCGCCCACCACGTGATTGAAACATCGGGCCCGGCGATGGCTCGGCGCCTCCGCGGCAGCTTTCCCTGCGCCGCCCACCGCGCCGGCGGGGGCGGGGGCGGGGGCAGGCCAGCTGCTCCCCGCTGAGAGCAGCAGCCGTTCGGGGCGCGGCCTCGGCCTTGGCGGCGTCCTCTGCAGTCGAGCAGCTGATACTCGAAGGGTCTCACATAGAGGCACGGCTAGCCCCGTGCACCGGCAGACGCGCGCCTTTTGGGTTATCAAAGACGCTGGACGAAGGTGGTGAAATGGGACTGCGATTTGGCCCTCGTGGAAGCACCGGCTGCAAGTCGAATCGAACTAAGTGGTCCAATCAATGCGGTAGTCGAATAAAACAAGGGGCACGTCTGGCAACAGGCTGTTTAACGTTCGCATCGCCGAACACTTCGCAGTCACGAGATGCCTTACATGCCAGTCTAAAGTAACGTGGCTATTGTAAATGATCAGACATGATTGAGTTTTATTCACGATCGATGGCAACACATCGTGAATAAAGGAATTTGACTTGTGTTGCCATCGATCGTGAATAACGTGGCTATATCATAGTCAGCGTCCACTGCTCCCCTTTCCTCCCTCCCTTCCGCGTCCGGCCTTCTCCCGTGCAGGTAAAATACCTATAAGTGAAACGAGTAGCATCAAAAGCAGCTATTCTGTCCAACCGCTGCCGTCTGATCACCGTACCGCGCGACCCTACGCATCCCTGTGGTTCCCGAGCACCCCAGTCCGCCCCGTCCCTCCTGTGTAGCCGCTGAGCAACCCGCCGCCGGCGGACCGGCCGGCCAACCAGATGGGAGCCGGCGCCGCACGTGTGTGGCCGCGGCGCCGGAGCGGCCGCGCCGGCCACTGCGCAGCGTCCCTGAGCGGCCGCGGCGGCGCCGCGCGGCCATGTCCGCCGGCAGCGCGGGTGGTCCGCAGCCGGACGGACCGACCGACGGAGAGAGCTCTCGGCACCGTAAACAGCCGCGGCGGCGGCGGCGCTGCTCCAGTGGGCCGGCTGCAGCGGCGCCGCGCGGCCGCTGCGTGCACCTGGCCGCCGCTGCCGCTGCTGCTCAAGGTCGCTGTACCACATCCAGCGTCCGCCGTGGGCCGGTGGACGGCCGCCCGGCCGACGCGCCGGTCGGGTGTGGATGAGCCGCACGCGGCCGCGCTGTCTCAGTCTCACCTTGGCGATCTGCTGCAGCGCCACCCTGGCGTCAATCCAGCTGGGCCGCAGCAGGAAGTCGCGACTGTACGCGGGCCGCTCGCCCGGCGCCTTTTCAGCGTCCGCGGCCGGCGTCGGCCCGCCGCCGCCGCCTCCTCGCATCACCATCACTGCACACTGTTCGCACTGGCGCGCACGCCACTAGCCGAGCCAACCTGCTCTCATCGTGCGCCACACCACCGCGGCCACATTCCGGCGCCTGGACCGCGCCACTCCACCACTGCCGACCGCGCGCACCCGACTGACCCAAGGCCCTATATACCAGGTAGGGTCGTCCGGCGATTCTGCCTGATCGTGACGTCAGCTTGTGACGTCATCTGGGGGCAAGTCTTGAAGCCCCGTTGGAGTCCCATGTAAATGGGCGATTTTTGAAGCGCTGTAGAACAAACTCTGTTGGAGCTAGCACAAAATTAAGTGCATCATCGGAAAGACGAGACATTTTTCTTTGAATTATCTAAGAGCAGTTTTTCGCTAAACCTATTAGTTTTTCCGAAAATGCGTAAAAAAGCCCCCATGCCTCCGCGGCCTCCCTTCCGCCGGCCGCCGCGCCGCCGCGGTAGTGTAGTGGTTAGGATGCTTGCACCGTGATCCAAAGGTCGTGCGCTCGAATCTAGGCGCGGGTCGGACTCAAATCGAAATTGCAAGGAGAATATGTGTTTTTTTCTTTAAAAATCACTTATATTACAGCTAACCGTTCATAAAATTATCGATAACAATTGACTGAAAGCCCAAATATAGATTACATTCTTATAAAACAAATTCAAATATGGCGGCCGTTGCGCTAGGCTCCGCCCCCGACTCCGCCCCTTCGTGTGACGTCATCTGTGCACTTGGACACACAGGGAGATAGGGGACGACATGGGCCTGGACTGACCGGTTGGCGGCCCATGCCGGCGCGCTGGCACGCCGCCGCCGCCGCCCCTCCCCACCAGGCGGCGGCGGCCGCGTGCGCTCATTGGTCGACGCCGCGGCGTTCCCTAGCAACGGGCCTGCCATTAGTGCGCAGGACCACCCAGGCGGCGGAGGGCGGCGGTCGCCGGATCAGAGGGGCGCCGCGCGCGGGGCCGGTGGGGGGGGGGGGCACGCCGGGTCGGGATGGGGGGGATGGCAAGGGTGCTGGCTTACCTACTGCTCAGTGCTCATTGCTCAGTGCACATTGAAAAGTTGACACTGGACGCTGGAAAGGTTGCCTGAAAACAAAAGGAGTCCCTCCTAGCCGACGCAAGGGAAGATGCTACTCAACTAAGGCTTTTGTAGCTCCTGTGACCTTTTGACGTCATTTAGGGGGCTAGTTCCAATATTTCACTTCAGATTATGTCAAATAGATGGAAAAGGTACTGAAAGTTTCGCGCTCATATATCTAAGCGTTCGGGAGCTATCGCAAGTATTCGTCAGGGAGGGGGACAGGGGCGGTCGCAGACTTGGCGTTGGGGGGAGGGGGCAACTTGGCAAGGGGCCCTGCCGACCCTCGGGTGGCCCGGGGGCTCATTGAAGTCATTGATAGCGCATTGATACGTATCGCTCGCCGCTCGGCGCTCGGTATACCTACTCTGTGGGTTAGGGCTGTTTTTGGTATGAGTGGCATAGGCGGCGGAACGGGGAGGGCACCGGGGCACCGTGCCCCCTTTGATTTTGGCATTTTAACATTAGCCCTATGGGCGTTGCATGGAGAGAATGGGACCAAAAGTCGGCAGTGCCCCCACCCCCCTTAACTGAAGGTGTTCCGCCGCTACTGATGAGTGGAGGCAAACTAAGACAATCCAAAGGCTTTCATAATCTATTCGGAAATGGTCCTTTTCCGGTCTTCACGGGGTCTCGTCTCACACTAGGGAGTAGGGATATTAGGTAATTTGACAGGGACGCCTCCATGTGGCCATGAAGGCCCGATTAGGTCCTCAAATCCCGACGTAGGACCAAAGGAGGCAATAGAGAGCTGTGTGGGACACTCAGAGGAAGGTATGAGTCTATATGAGACACTCTTAAGACAGTGTAGGCCATCAAAAGGCGGTAGTTGGCCCCACAGCCCGGTGTGGGATCTTCAAAGACCAAAATCGTTCCTCGTAGATCGGCATGGCCCGCCTGCGCTGGATATTAGAGAACCGAACCGATTGGGGTGCTTAACCCTCGCCCTGGCAGGGCATTTTTCATAACACAACCTGGCAGGGGGGGGGTCGATGCGACCCCCCCCCCTCGCGATTGGCTCCTATATGGCACCTATAGAAGCACCAAATTTGGTAGGTAGGTGGGCCCCCTGGAGTTCTCACCCCTGTGCCAATTTGGTTGCTCTAGGTCAATATTTAGGGGGTTTGGGGGGGGGGGTATAAATGTAAAAATTTCGCTAAAAACAGGTCAAAGGTTTTTCGCTTAAAACTTTCGATCTAGATAGAGCAAAAAGAAAAGCACCAGTGAACTCAGCACGTCAAGGCGCGTTGAATGATATACTTTTTTGCTTGCTTGAGTGTACCCAAAGTTTTTTTTTCTAAATTATTAAGTAAACTGTAATTCATTAATTAAGTTCAAGTTAACCGAATTGCATCATATCGCATATCATTCGATTTGGCTGATTACCAGGAACACAATGACACCATTTTCTAAGCTCTAGCGTCATTAGGTGCCAAGTTATTGGCAAAAACGTCATTTGACCTCAGTTGACCTCATTTGACCTGACCCATGGATAAGTACACCAAACAAGGAGGTACCAAGTGACCTGCTGTTAAGTACTGTGGTTTCAAAGCACAAAAGTGATAGAACGAAGCGGATATGGCCAGTGTTTTCCGAATTTAGTATTTTCCCATAGGCTTAACATTACGACGAAATGACCTCTAACTGACCTCAGGTCAGTAACATCAAAAAACTCGAACTTATGTTATACAACTCGGTGAACTTACCACATCCTGAAAGTTTGAAGGAAATCGGTCCAAAACTGTGAGTTGGACAGGTGCATAAAGTAAATTGAAATTTGACCATGACCTTGTACCTACCAATTTTTCTGACCTGGTGACCTGACCCAAGGTCACCCGGACCTGACATTTTCAGGTCATATGTAAAACTAAAAAGGTTGCCCCATAGGCCATGTGACAAATTTGGTGGCGCTACGCGCCGCCATTTTTACGCTATCTTCGAAAAATCTTAGGGGGGTCGCATCGTCCCCCCGTGCCAGGGCGAGGGTTAAAAGCCGCCTTGAGGCCTTCTGAGACCAGTAAGAGTTCACCAGAGGCTGGTTTGGGGCACACCGAGGACGACAAGGGGTACCCATAGGCTAGTATGGACTCCTCAGAGGTCGGCCAAGAGCCCTAAGAAGTCGGCGTGGGGCCAACAAAGCCAGTGGGTCCTTCAGAGGCCTATAGGTACATGGGGTTCTTAGAAACCTGCGTGGGATCCCTAAGGATCAGCATGGGGTCATCAGAGGCCGTTGGGGTTCTCAGATGACGGAATGGGGGGGGGTCCTAAGAGAGCGGAATGGACCCTAAAAGGACAGTATTGCTCCTTGGGAGAAGACAAGAGTCTTCTGAAACCAGTATGAGACCCTTATATAAGCCCAGCCGAAGATCATTTAAGGCCAGTATTGACCCTCATAAGCCGGATGAGGCCTCACACGGCAGTATGGACCCTTAACCATGGGTCCTCAGAGACCTGTGGCCCATCAGAGGACAGCGCGGGGTCATCAAAGACCAGTGTGTGCCTGTGTACCCTCTGAGGTGGTGTGGGCCCGGGCAGCGTTGGGCCTTGAGAGGTCAATGTGGGACTCCACTGACTGGTATGGGCATACCTGGCATACCTGACCTTTGATTCAAGCCGGATCTTTTGACACCAACCGCATTTTTGGGTCAGGTCAGGTCACTGACCTATGACGTCATAAGTGAACCTCTGCACGGTCTTCAGATGTCGCAACTTCGCAACGCCCTCACTGCCAGAGGAGATGTCACAGGGAAATGAAACTTGCAGGATCTAGTATCCATTATGAGTCTCACAACTTGTATATCTCGGATTTTTCATAAAGGTCATATGAGGTCAGGTCATTTTCGTGACCTCACTGTATTGCAAGAATTGCAATAGCGAAAACGAAAGAAGAGTATCGCACGAGAATATCGCATTTAAATTTTGAACGCAAGATTTGTCATGACCTATCAGCTACTCAGCTACATAGTTTGAATTTTGGCTGCAATGAAGTAAGGATTATTTTTGTGAATATGTGTCATTTAAATTTGTCTGGCCATACTAAGCATTTTATTTGTGCTAATCAATGTCTCGTTTTGTTTCAGGATGAAATTTGTTACATAGCAAGAATTTTGATTCAAAGAAAATTTGTTCTGTTTCTTCTTTTGTGTTGATACAAATTCTACATCACATTGCAGTTTTATTTTGAGTTTACACACGATCATTACATTTCATCTTCATAGTCATAACTTCTTTGAAACTTGAACAAACCTTGGTTAAGAATAAAGTAACTTGAGTAAAGTAAAGTAATTTAAGTAAAACTACTTAAAAATGAACAAGAAGCTAGAAGAGGAGGAACCACGAACATCGGATACAACGAAAGACATACGAAAAGCGAAACAAGAACGAGGAAATGCAAAACGAAAGTTTACTAGGAAAATTTGGGGCTTTCGCGACATGATTGAAAAAGATGGTCCACTATTGGCGATCCAAGAAAAATTTGAAGACATTAAGGACTCGTACCGTCAACTCGAAAAGTGTAACGACTTTGTCAACGCAGCAATCAATGCAACTGGGCCACACCATTTGATTGATAAATTGTTGGAAGAAAGTGACGAATATATGATTGATATTGAAGCATACATGGATGAAGTAAGAATGCACTTTGCAACTAAAAATCAAAAGGAACATGCTAAATTGTCAGAAATAAAAGTCAAACCTCTAAATGCGCCGCAGTTCTCTGGCAATATTCGGCAATATTCCAGTTTCAAGCAGGATTTTGATAGGTTAATGAAAAAGCAGTTTGGAAAGGACGCGTATGCCTTACGTCAATGCTTAACGGACGACGCACTGAATACGATCAGAGGAATAGAAGACGATTATGACGAAATGTTTCGGCGACTCGACGCGAAGTACGGAGAGCCACGAAAATTAGTTGATTCAATCATACACGAAATTAAAGAGTTAAGACCTATCGCAGAAGGGGACCACGTTAAATTTATTCACATGGTGAAGATAGTAGAGAAGAACTGGTTGGAGCTGAAGAGAATGGGAATGGGAAATGAGATGGACACAACAACAATGGTAACGATGATAGAAAGGCTACTTCCCAAAACGCAAAAGCGGGAATGGGTCACACTACTGGATCGGCGAGAACATGTAGATACACCAGCCAGTTCGACATTTCAAAAACTTTTGTCATATTTACTCCAGGAAAAAAGAGTAATAGAATATATGGAAAATGATGTACGAAATCCAGCCGATTCTAAACCAAAATTCACCAGCAAAACAGTGCATAACGTTGAATTGGATACAGTGAAGTGTGACAGCGAAACGAACGGCGAATCCGAGGAAACGAACGAAATGAAAGCGAACATTTCTCAGAATAACATGATTCAACTTTGTAATCAAGTTCAAAACATGACCGAACGAATTGAACATTTATTTGACGATCGAACGAAACGAAACAACGGACCCAATCAAAAGAAACAACTCTCCAGTGCCGACAATAATATTTGTTGGATACATAAAACAGACGCACATCCAATTTATAAGTGTAACGATTTTTTAAAATCAAATCATGAAGAGAAACTTTGTAGTCTAAAACGAAATGGAGTGTGTTTTAATTGTTTGAAGCAAGGGCATATAGCCATGGCATGTCCTTTTGTCAACCAATGTGACAAACTAAATCATCTGCGACAAAAATGCGGCAAGCGCCATCATCCATATCTGCTTCTTGACAGAATTCCGGTCAATGACTCCACAAATGCGATTCACATGACTAGAAGTAAAACACAAGAGCCATTGCTTGCAGTTAGCCATGTCATCTGCAACGAGAGTAAACTTGCGGTTTTATGGGATTCCGGAGCGAATGTGTCACTCATTGATCGGAAAACTGCAGCTACGTTAAATCTCACTGCAGTATGGATGTTGAATTATCTATCAAGAAAATTGGAAATCAATATCAAGCATTGACGACTAAACGATATGTCGTTCCTCTATATGACGAGGACGGAAAATATTGGGAAATTAATGCATATGGGATAGAAGAAATTACAGAATTAGAGGAAATCGACATGATCAATATTGCAAACATATTTCATATTCAACCAGAATACATCAAAAGACCACACGGTAAAGTTGATCTGCTTGTTGGGACAGACTGCTGCGTCCTACTACCAGAAGTTGTTAAAACGATAGAAAAGATCCAATTACTAAGAAATCAATTTGGTTTTTGTGTTCGTGGTTGCGTCCACTCGGATGCATTACACACCACGAAGAAGGATGATTCGGGCACCGTCAAAAATTTTAGCGATGTCACTAAAATGGGAGAAGAACACAGAAATGATTATGTCAAGCAAACGGAAGATAAAGTAACACGAGGAATAGCTCCAAAATCATCAAATGAAGAGATAGAAAATTCTACGGATCCCGTACGTTACATGCAACATCACGAACTTGTCAGGCCAGACTCTCCATCGACTCCAATGCACATTGTTTTTAATGGTATTCAGCTGTTAGCATTGATAGCAATAGCAATGGTAGCATTGAAAACAATTGCAGAAACAAACAGGAGCACACATGGAAAAGCCACTATTATAACAATAAGATATAGCTATGCTGACGATTTTATTCAGCCAGTTCCTCATGAGAAAGATACTTTTAGTTTGGGCGAAGATGTGCAAAACAAATTGAGGAAGCAGTTTGTCAAAGTTACAGGTTACAAGTTACAGGACGAAAGATTAGCTCGGTGTCCGAAACCGTTGAATACTGTTGGTGAACCTATACTGATTACTTTATTTGATGCAAGTATTCAAGCATACGAAGCATGCGTGTATGTGCAATTGAAACTGATTACGGCATTAGACTGCAGACTGAGAAAAACAATCCAGCAAGAAATGAACTTTATTTACAAAAACTTTCTTGATGTCGTGAATTCTGCTATCATGAGGGATCAAATTCCAAAGGAATTGTATGGATGTGACTTGTTTATCGCGACCAAATTTGCAGAAATTCAAATTCATTCGGAACAAAATGAATGGTGGCGGATGGCAGCTACTGACAACCCAGCGGACATCAGGCTCACCCGACCATACCATATCGGGCCTGGATCTGTGTGTCAAAGAGGACCAGATTTTCTGTCACTACCTACCTGTCGAGAAATGACATATCAGTCAGTCCTTACAAGTTCAAGAAAGGGGTTCAGTTCATATCTAAGTGCATATCAATTAAGATGACAAAGTGAGGAACGCTACTCTGCGATACTGCGATACAGCACTTTCCCAAAATGCTACAAATGCAAGCAAGTAGGTAAAAGCAAGCAAGCACTGGCCAGCCCGACGCCATAGTCAAACTTCCTATACATCGTCTTGTAGGTGACCGATCACGAAGAAGAAGGCGTTTTAAAATTTTGAAGAAGGCGTTTTGATGACCGATCACGAAGAAGAAGGCGTTTTAAAAATTGACACTTAAAGAAATCACCTCGATTATCTTTTTTGAACTACATTGACAGCACTGAGTATCCTGGAAAATGTTCCCATGCATTTGCATGCGGGAGAATTGGGACAAGGTTTAGGCACGTTGTCCCAGTTCTCCCCAAGTCGTCATTTTTATTTCAACTGCTCTCCCACACAAAAGTATAACAGATAGGTACATAAAAAAATGTTTCTGCATATATTTAGATGACTTCACTGATATCCAAAGGTGAACGGCCTGAACATTCCACATCGCTGAGTAAACGGCAAATTGAATTAGAGTACAATGCCAAAAAATCACATTTTAGACCCCAACTCAATATCTCAGAGACAGGCAACCGGAAAAGGAAACCGCTTGGTTGTGACGAGCCCTGACTAAATTCATGGGAAAATATGCAAAAACAAAATTGTTTGTCCAATCGGTCACCCAGATATTGCAGGTGTCCCACTTCTCCTCCGTCCCAGTTATCCCCACTCTCCCCTACCAATACTGGAACTTGGAAGCGCATGAAAATGGCGATGTCGAATGACGATGACTATGACGAATCGTGGGGGGAGTGTATTGCAAGAATTGCAATAGCGAAAACGAAAGAAGAGTATCGCACGAGAATATCACATTTAAATTTTGAACGCAAGATTTGTCATGACCTATCAGCTACTCAGCTACATAGTTTGAATTTTGGCTGCAATGAAGTAAGGATTATTTTTGTGAATATGTGTCATTTAAATTTGTCTGGCCATACTAAGCATTTTATTTGTGCTAATCAATGTCTCGTTTTGTTTCAGGATGAAATTTGTTACATAGCAAGAATTTTGATTCAAAGAAAATTTGTTCTGTTTCTTCTTTTGTGTTGATACAAATTCTACATCACATTGCAGTTTTATTTTGAGTTTACACACGATCATTACACTCACCATTATAAGTCAATGGGGAAAAAGGAAAACTGCTATTTTGGCGCCGGGAACGATCTCCAACTATCTCAAGCACACAGAATCGTGATTTGATGCACTCTTTGCAAGGTTAGATGCGTCACTTTTGCGATGTTGACCTTGTGTGACGTCATTTATGACGTCATCAAGGTCATATTAGTTTTTCGTCAATAACTCCCGATCAAATTGAGCTAGCGAGTCGGGAAAGCCACCAATGGACTCAGGAAGACCTGCCGAATCGAATGATATGCGACATGACCTCTTTCGACCAGCTTCGTGACCTGGGGGTGCTGACCTGACCTTGACCTGAGGTCAACACCCTAAGTTGACCTGACCCGAACAAAAAGTATATCATTCGACGCGCCTGAGCGAGGCGAACACGATGCTGCCAAAATCGCGGCTCTACGACCGTTTTTTGCGAAGTTATTCACCAAAAACTGAACCGTACCTTGGGGCACTTGACCTGACCTCAGAGGTCACCGGTTGATCTAGGACCTTAAAATCGGGTACCAATCTCTGCGTCTCGTAACGGCGCACACGCTCGTTTTTTCCGCGACGCGCTAGCTCCACCAGGGGCGAAACGGCGAGGGGGGTCGTACCCGCCCCCCCTCGGCCGTCGCGTATGTAGAAAACCAATAGGTCCGGCGAGGGTTAAAGCATTTCTCTATGTTGTGAGTACCCAAACCGGTAAGTGCGGTCCGAACAATTCGAAATGCCTGTTTTTTACCAATAAAGCAATTATCACTCTCTTTTTTATTAATGTGCTTCCTTGTGAGAAAATAATGTCATATGAGTACCTTGCAATTGCTTGATTATACCTAATAATTGAAATCAGATATATACCTAATGATAAAGTAATGATTGTATGTTTTCATATCCTTAGGTTAACCCGCGCCCGGCTGGGGGTCCTGGATTTCCACGCCCTGTTGGGGGGAGGGGTGTTTGAACGCCCCCCCCCCCTTCTAACTCGGCTCCTGGGCCACGTAGCGATACGTGGAAGGCGGCGTTCGAAAGAGCGTAAAAGATAATGAGGAAATCACTTCGGTCAATTTTTTGGTCAGATCAATGGTCAGGTCACCAGAGGTCATTGAAGGCAAAATTTCTCCGATTTCCAGGTCGAATGTCGACAACTTCCAAGAAGCCAACGCATAACTCGGGAACCAATAGAGCTACAGCGCCGCGGAAAAGCGCATTCGATAGCCCTATTAACAAATAGTAAGAAAATTAACCTCACTCTCATTCTATCTAAAAGTAAATTCCGGATTCGAAATAAAACAAACTAATCGAATCCGGAATTTACTTTTAGATAGAATGAGAGTGAGGTTAATTTTCTTACTATTTGTTACAATGTCTCTCAAGTTCGCGTTGAAACATATTCAAGCCCTATTAACACCCTGAGTATTTTTTTTCAGATTTGACCTAACGTCAACGGTTTTGCCTGCAGGGGGCAAAAACTGCAAAAAAAACCGATTTTTTCGGAAACAGTTTTTCTGCAATAACTTTTGACCCAAGCCTTGTACGAGCTTACTTTTACCGGCACCGTGTTCCTCTCGTCAAGACGCATCGAATGAACTATAACTTGACCTTGGAAGGTCAACTTGAAAATTTGACCTTAGGTCAAGGTCATGACCTGACCGGAAAGGGTCATGTTGCATATCAGTCGATCCGTATCGTCGAGCTGAACACATGTAAGGCGTTTTCATCGCTCTATCAAAAGTTATTTGCGAAAAACTGTTAGATACCATTCGTAACCTAAGATGACCTCAGGGCATACCTAAACAGGGGTCACGGACACCATTTTCATGTTCAGTGTATCTAAACCACTTGTAATTCAGTGTTTGGGAGTGTTTATAATGTCTTTCGTCCAAAAGAGGCGCATTTCAATTTTTCCCATTGACTTATAATGGGGAGGTCGCAAAATTGGCCTGACCTTAGGTCATCGATACCAAAATTTTGAGATATACATTTTGTACATGCTATTGCTCTTAGCAATCACTGAAAGTTTCAAAGCGATCGGTCACTCGGTGTAGCTATGACAGACATTGAAACTTTTTATGAGGTGAGGTCACTTCAAGTGACCTGGTGACCTGACTTTGAATGACCTTGGTCTGAAATTTTCACATCATGTGTAAAATTGATGTATGATAAGGTGTACCAAAAACGGCGGCGCGGGGCGCCGCCGTTTTTGAGATATTCGCGAAAAACCTCAAGGGGGGGTGTTCAAACCCCCCCCCCCCCAGCAGGGCGCGGGTTAAGGGTAGAGTGGGGTAAGTCATCCCGTTAACTCGCGCCCCGTAAGGCTATCGGCGCGGACCCTGCCAACCAAAGTGTGGCCGTTTCGCCCCCCCTCTCCTCGCCCCCCTTCTCTTCAAAGATCTCGGAAAGCTACCGCCGGATTTTCAAAATTCAAATGGCGTTCAAGCCTCACCGGGGAACCACCTTACTGAGTTTTATTGAACTTGGTCCACCCGATGACGTCACAGGTCAGGTCAAATGAGGTCGCATTTTTCATCGTTTAACCCGGCAGGCGGTGGGCCTCCCGGCCACCTTCCGCGCGGTGGGTGGGGGGGGGGGGCATTTTTTTGCCCCCCCCGTATCCCCGAAACTACTGGACGGATCCGGAAAATTCAAACGGCGTTCGATAGCCCTGTCAAATTTGTTGAATGAAACCAAATTTCATTGACCTCGGGGTCACCGATGACGTCACAGGTCAGGTCAAAGATAAAATGTTTCACCGTTCTCGGGTCTTCTAGGGAAAGCGCTATAACACCGAAGAAAACACATTTTGTCGAAAATCAGCGCTAGGGCGTCAGTTGTCTAGTACATATGTTGCTATTAGAGGTCACTGGTCATACCAGGTCAGGTCACAGGTCAGGTCACCAAGCGTCACCAAGGGTCACCACATGAACCCAACTTTACTAAGGTTGTGCGATGCGTGTTTTATGGCCAATTTTTCATTACCAACTCAATGGTGTTTGTTATAAGACCATCAGGAACAGTTTAGGTCACTTTCTGGTGGATGTCAGGTCAAGGTCAGGTCAAAAAAGGTCAAATTTCAAAGTTAATTGTTTTGCATAAAATGGGTATTGATTCGATGCAGCTCGTCACGGGGAGTCTAATGTGGTCTTTGTTTTGAGCTACGAGGTCTATAATTGCTTAAAATTGAGCTTGAAAATTTGATGTCATCAATTTTGAACAGTTTCTTCGCTATAACTTAGCCAAAAAAAGAGGTATCGATCTCAAATTTGGTAGGGGAAGTTGGGGGAACGCCGAAGACTTTTTTTCTGACGCCCGTAGCACGCAAGGTAGACAACATACGCTTTTCTTGTTTGCGTCATTCGAGAGGCCAGTCTTTTGCCTTTCAAACATACCAGGCGCATTTGATGAATTCGCATACCGTTAAGCGCACAAACTAAAAATATCAAAGAAGCGACTTTTTCGGCGTTGCCCCGGACTGCGGGGAAAGCCGAAAATGGGAGAAATGATCTACGGGGAATGCCGACATTGATGTTTTGCCATTTTATCTCAAACTTTATCCAGAATTCATCAAAGCTGACACACGTTTCAAGAGCTTGAGGACGCGGTGCACACTGGAAGTTATAATTGTGTGATATAATAAGAAAATGCCAGGTAAATCATTCCTTATAGGTAACAGGCCGTTGTGTCGGTTGAAAGTGTAATTTGTGTGACTAAAAATACGCGTTGCTATTCTACAGCAGTAAAGTCCACGTAGCGTGCTTTTAACACGTGCGTAATCGCACGTTTTCGGCATTACCCCAGCCAGCCATACTTTCGTTTGCAGGCCCATAACTTTTCAACGTGCTGTATAAATTTCAAATAGGCAGCACACTTATGCAAAGACATGCTAAAGATTACTTGACCGAATTGGCCAGACAAACGGTAGCATAATGAGTAAAAAATGCAGCTTCAAAGGCGCATGTAGTACAAGGGAAACGTACCTTGAAAACGCTCTTGGCGCCCTCACAGTCGAAGTATTCCGAATGACGACTCGTAACAAACATGCGATAATTGTAGTCACTTGAGCTGCAGAGCATCACTGACAGGTGGCATCCATGTCTTACGGTTTTCGAAATATCTCGAATTTCGGCTTTGCCCCAACTCCGGCATTGCCCCAACTTCCCCTATGTAGATAGAACGCGGTAGGGACTATCACATATTTTCCGTTTTTTTTTCGAAATTCCAAAAAACTTTTTGGATTTTCCGGTTATTTTATTCAAAAAATCTATTTTTTGATTTTTGGGGGTCAAAATCCAAAAATTTCAAAAATTCGACATAACATTTTTGTACCCATTTTAATTCTACACCTTTTATGGCCAAAACATTTTTCTGTATCTCTGAAGCTGTAGGCCTGACAGCTCTTCCCGCGAAACCTTTTTTTGGGTCGAAAATAGCAGAAATGACGTCACTCTGAGTCTGACGTCATCAGTGGCCAACCTATCATAGCTTTTGGAAAAAAATGGTCACAATGTGCAATAGCTGTTCACGGGAGGGTACTGAAAGTTTGGTGACGATCGGCGCAGCGGTTCTGGAGATATATCGAAAAAACTAAAGGGGGGGGGGGGCAAAAAATGCCCCCCCCCCCACCGCCTGGAAGGTTGAAGGCATTTTAAGAAATGTGTTGTAAAAGCAAGTAAAAGGCACTTAGGCATGTTGTAAAAAATTATCGATAGACACTTGTTTGTCTTACACATATTTTGATATTTAAGGTCACTAATACCTACCAGGTCAGGTCACAGACGTTAGGAGGCGGAAAAAACGAGCGTGTTGCCCGTCACGAGAGGAAGCCGATGATACCCAATTTTAAGGTCCTAAGTCATCGGTTGACCTTTCAGGTCAGGTCAATGACCCAAAAGTCGGGAAAATCGGGATCTGTTAGAAAGTCGTAAAGTGCGGCTGCTATGATCTAGCTTAAAACTAAGC